ATACATGTACAAACGCACACACACACACACACACACACATATATATATATATATATATGTTTATATATAAGTAAATATATATGCTGGTTAACACACTATATATATATATATATTTGTGTGTGTGTGTGTAAAGGCAAATTTAGCTGCAGGTAGATACGGAACGAAACAGACTATTTTATTACGTTAATAATCCTGGTCGTGTGCTTTTATACGGAAAGCTATTTGTGGTCGATGTCTAACTATAACAACCGTGCACGTTGGCCAAAATAAATTCCCGTTACAGTCGCAATTACTCCAACGGCTACTAGCGTGCTCAAGTTGACCGAATAGACCTCGTTGTCGCAAGTCTCTTCTAAAGCTGTAATTTCGGACTGTACCTTGACGGGTGCTGTAGGATTCTCGATTGCGTCGTATAGATCTGTAATCTGGTCTTTGTACTTTTTGGTGGCATTCACACGCTTCAGCTTGAATGTGGGTGTGAGCAGCTCATTGTCAATACTGAACAGCTCAGGCTCAACAATAAAGTCTCTAAGTTTCTCGAACCCCTTCAGTTTGCATTCTTTGTGCATATTCAGTAGTTCCGAGGTCAGAAGAGCCTTCAACTCTGGCGATTGTGCAATACTTCTAGCATCGCCAGACACGTTGTTTGCTTTGGCCCAAGCAACTATCGATTCAGAATCGGGCACAACAACGGCCACAGGGTAGGCGTGGAACGAGTCTCCTGTGACAAACACCTGTGCAATGTGATCGCACTTTCCGTACATTGCCTCCAGGTTCTCAGCGGCGAGATACTCGCCCTGAGAAAGCTTGAAGATAGACTTCTGTCGATCAATGATTGATAGCGTGCCATCGGCGTTCCATCGGCCTACATCGCCAGTATGAAACCACCCTTCCTCATCGATATCTTCTTTCGTCTTCTCGGGGTTCTTCAAGTAAGACCCAAACACATTAGTTCCTCTCACACATACCTCACCACGTGGTATTTCATCGCTGGTGAGATAGTTCATTTCGGGGATGCTGACTAGTTTGACTTCATTCGAAGCCATGGGGGATCCGACGTGGCCAAGTTTCATATCGTTGTAATGAGTGATGGTGGCACCAGCTGTCGTCTCAGTCAAACCATAACCGACCATGATGACAGGGCACACACAAACACGCAGGAACTCGTGAATAGCCACTCCAAGTGGTGCAGAGCCAGTCAGAATCCACTTCACACGGCCGCCTAGAGCCATGCCCATTCGATTGAAGACCTTCTCATTGAGGATCGGGGTATCCTCGCCGCGTTCCAGAGCTGCTAGACGCATGTTGTAAGCACCCTTGAAAGCGGCCTCCTTCTCCGGACCGCCGGCCTTTATACCTTGGTTGATCTTATCGTATATACGTGACAGAATGCGTGGCACAGCAATAAAGAATGTCGGCTTCAAAGTCTGAATGTCCAGCATAAGCTCAGGTAGCTTCCCTTGGTAAAATCCAATGGAGCACCCCTGGCTAACACACAGAGCCTGTATCACCCGTTCGAAGATATGTGCCAGCGGAAGGAACGAGAAGTGTACGTCTTGGTTGCTCACACGGAGTCGCTCTTGAAGTGATACAACATCCGACATCACGTTCCTGTGGGTGATTTGCACTCCCTTGGGGTTTCCTGTGGTGCCTGACGTGTACATAAGTACAGCTACATCCTCTGCGGTAGGGGGGTCATGTGACAAGACATTCTCAGAGCCTAAATCCGCCACCTCATAAAAATTAAGCAGCGTAACGCCAGCGTCTGAAAACTTTACCTTGTCTTCAGATGTTATTACTTCGAAGCAAATGGCAAACTTGAGGTTTGGTAGTCCCTTGCCGATCGCTGCAAGGACAGACTCGAGACGAATCTTTTCAAAGAATGCTGCAACCATCTCGCTGTGTTCCATCACATAATGTACTGATTCAGGACCGAGTGTATCATAGATGGCAACAGATGGTAGTGTATACGATGAAAGAGCATGATCGGTCAGTGTCCATTCCATTCGATTCTTGGAGTATAATCCAACCGGTTGATTTTTTGCAACGCCTAGTGACTTCAGTCCGGAGCCGATGTATGTCGCAGTCTCGCTAGCCTCCTTGAAAGTTATGAATTTGTAGTCGCCAGCGCTCGTGGTGCCATCCTCGTTGTATACCACAGTTCGTTCACCCAAATAAGGGCGGTTCATGTTGTTGGAAACGGTGGTCTGGAAGCTCTGGTACGTTGTGGTACGACCTGGTGTGTCTCTTAATAACTCTACGGGCCAAGTGGCTACACCGTTAGAATATACCGGCAGACGATGAGCGGATGCTCCCCAGTCTGACCCTTCGGCCACGACACTTTGCATAGCTAGCTCCGTATTCTGTGGATTTGGAAAGCAGGCCTGCTTCTTTTGTTGAGGGACCGACTTCATGTCAACCATCCTAGCTTGAGTTATTATTCTGATATTTGTTAAACTTTTGTCGTAAGTGGAAATTGTAAATATGATAATTCCTTCTGAAAGGCATCTGCCCTATATATGTCGAGATCCGGGACGGGTTTATGGATACTGAGACGTACGAACTCGAACGTAAATAGTAAATATCTACAAAGTCCTCGATATGGAGTGTCCATAAAAAAAAGTCCGAACAAAAGGAAGCAGATTTCTTCAACTGAGTAAATTTTGGAGCAAACCAACTTTGACAATAAAATATATTTTATCTTTGTACATTTTCATTGTTGTCAAAAAATAATTTGAAAAAAACACTATATACAATTGTGCATACAAACGTATGTACATATGTACACATAAGTCACAACGTACAAGTTATGTAGTTACTCAGTTGAAGAAATCTGCTCCCTTTTGTTCGGACATTTTTTTTATGGACACTCCGTATCGAGGACTTTGTAGATATTTATTATTTACGTTCGAGTTCGTACGTCTCAGTATCCATAAACCCTTTAGAAGAGACTTGCGACAACGAGGTTTATTCGGTCAATTTGAGCACGCTAGTAGCCGTTGGAGTAATTGCGACTGTAACGGGAATTTATTTTGGCCAACGTGCACGGTTGTTATAGTTAGACATCGACCGCAAATAGCTTTCTCCAGACCAGTAACGTATTGAAATAAAAATTCTTGTCCGTATTGCAATTTTCTTTATTTGATTATCTATGCTTGATTATGTGCCTTATTAAGCACATTTATATCTTTATCACACTGTCACTATTTACCCTATCTACCTATATGCTGTGTAACTTCTACTACTAGATTTCGATTAATAATCGATATTTAAATTCGCTTCAAAGCGCATTTCTACAGCAAACCTGGCATGGTTACTAACTTCGGTTTCTGTACATCCTGAGGAGCAGCGTGGTTCTTCCACCACACTACACAGCCCGATTGGTCTGCGGTTACCAAGGAAACGCCCGAAGGGGAAGTTTCGATATTGGTGATGGGGTGCCCTTCGTGGCTGCAAAGATTATAGGTAAAGCAGAAGCATGTGAGCGGTGGCTGGGTCATACCAAACCATTTTGCCTGAATGATATATTCCTGCACATTTATAAAAGTGTTTTGTACTCTTACATGTATGCACGCGCTAAAAGACTCAACGTAAACACTTACCTTGCTTTGAACCGGTATACAGGCGTCAAGTCCACCAGTGAGTACGCACACACCACCCCACGGTTGTCGCCAACTAACACAACGTCTGTACCCGCGCTGATGCGTGCTTGTGTCATGCACAGACTCACTATCTCCAGTGGTTCAGCGCGTGCGCGTGCTGTGCTGTGGGGATTCGCTCGCCACTCTTTCCGCGCTGAGAGGATTGCGTAAGGCAGCATGGTTAATAATGTAATGGTCAGTCGTGTATAGTATATCATGTGTATAAGTGCGCGTGGCATTTATTTATTGGGGTGCAACTATTCACACACTCCACACTCCGAAGTAGTTCAGGGCGTGTGCGTGCGGTATTGCAGGGATTCGCTCGCCACTCTTCCCACGCCGAGAAGTGATAAATAAGGTAGTATGGCCGATGACACGTATTGTAATTGTGCATGTTCCGCCATATACAATGTATGTGTAATATTCCGCACTCTTGCTGTTCTCAGCTACTCAGCGTATATATGCGAGGTGATGAGGGGGACATTTTACTACTTTTTGTGCGCTGTAAAACTCGGATGCGTTCTCACATATCAATCGACCATGATAAAGAAATCAGATATAAACTAACATATTAATCAAAATGCGATTTAAAAGAGCAGAAACAAACAAACAATTCAACTTCGACATGGTGAGAATGGGTAGTGAAGTAGAATAACTTATACCTGTGATCCGCTCTCTCTCCCACTGCAGATTGTTTGAATGAGACGAGGACGAACTTTCGCCGAAATTCGGGAATTCATTGCGCGTGTAGCGGCGTTTACTGACCAGTTCACCATTAACTGTGTACAGACACAGAGTGCTGTACACTCCCCGCACGGTTCTTTCGAAGTCGTTTCCTACGTATATATTTATGTACCAGATTAGGCAGTTGAAAATAGAGACACACACCCACACATACACACAATACACCCACCCACCCACATACACACACCCATACATATATATAAATATATATATATAGGTATAATGTGTATACCTTTTTGTATATGCACATACACACTTATAAACTCACCATCTGCTTCCTGAGTGCCCACCTCGGCAGTGTAGTCGTTATCCCGACACACCACCACTATAGCCCCACTGGTCAAGTGTGTGGTAAGGTGGGTGACGCACTGTCCAATGGGGGTGGCGTGTGCGTGCAACACAAGCGATAGCACTCCTCGGTCTATGTCCCATATGCATACACGCCCGTCATCGCCTCCGGTCGCAAAGAACCTATTTATAGCACACGTAGAAGAGATCAAGTTTCAAGGAAATTTGGGGCTGGTCGTAGACGAGCCAAGTATAGTTCAACCCTAGAACCAGACTCGCACAGCTTATCGAATGATCGACACGAATGCACTCATAGATATCCACACTTCCATATAACAACCAGCTATACGATGTCCTGTAAATAAACTCTGTACGCACATACTGTACAGGCAAATGGATAAGAAAGGTAAGAAAAAAAGCGTTCGTACACCGATTTGCAAGGTCATCTATCGTGAGACACACATGTAAATGCGGCTAGGTAGGACGCACCTGAATGTATCGCAAGCGCTCATGCAGGTCACTTCGCCTCTGTGGCCACTGTGTGCCGATATCAGATCAAAGTACAACCATTCTCGGAACTCACTCTTGAGCTTCTCTCTCATGCGCCGGATACGCCAGATGGATACCTACGACAGCAGATATAAGTGTACCATATTTATATAGGATGTGTTCAAGATCTAGACAAAAATGTGAGGGGTTAACAGAGATACATACAAGTAGGTATCGATATGTTGGAGTGTGTTTTGAGACTTACCGATACATGTGAAGCCGCGGAATAGAAGTAAATGGATAAGATATATTATAGTCAAGACATACTTGCCGCCGAGATGATTAGATGCAACGACTTTGACTAACAATTGATGCGATTCCGATCAATAATCACGTGCTTAATTTCAACACAGTATACCAAGAGATATGCACACTGAAACTTTACATACACAGTTTTATCAGGACACACAATCCTTTTGCAATTAAATCAAGACACACCTGCCCCTGAACTGATCCTGTGAAGAGGCTTTGGCTGTCAACATTCGACGCGGTGGCACAGCTAATGCGATTCTCATCGGACAGCAATTCCGATACGCATGCACGTCTGAAGGGAAAGGCAGACACAGTTAGGGATATACATACATAAAAATATTCATACATACACACACACACACACACGCACACACACACACATACACACACACATATATATACATACATACATACATACATACATACATATACATATACATATATACATATACTTATACAAAGTAAAAGCAAGGCCACGGTAGATATGCACACACAGATACAATCGTAAAACGATATGTGAGAACTGAACGAATGCACGTTTTGAATGGACAAGATCTCGATGTGTACGACACGCATGGAGATGATTGGAAAGGTAGAAGTTGCACGTCAGGCAGAAGAAAACGTCTGTGAAACTATAGAACGACCTCTACTTTGTATGTAGGGTGCTATTTCTCGTAGAAAATTTACTATTCAGATATGAATAAGCGCACGTGTAGGAGAAAAATGAGATAAAATGACACAAACAGAAACCGCACTCTCGGCTACGAAGTGAAGGCTACCAGATCGGAATGGTTGGTGGGCTGTAAGGTGACGATATGAGTGCACTGAGACACCCGGAACAGGCAAACTATACGCGCACAATCTGACGGCGAAGAACACACACTGATAAATAATCGCTAACGAACATACAAAGCATACATAGAAATACGTAGACGCACATACACATTTCACTCACACATGCACTGACACACACATCTCCACGTACAAACACACAGACACAGACACATACACACACGCAGACATATACACACGACACAGACACAAACACGCACACAACTACACATATGCATACACACACACCTATCTGGAGAGTAGGCCACGAGATTGGGACCGTTGGTGTGATCCCAGGTTACGGCATGGGTATACTCGGGTGGTAACAGCGCCGTGCTCTTGCATGTCACAGCCACCACCACTACCTCACTCGTGAAGTAAAGCCTCTCCGCACAAGATGTGTATTTCCTGCAGAAGATATGAGCGATTGTGAATACGTGCAAGTGAAATGTGGTTTTGTGGGTTTCATGCTTGTTTGCGTCTCTGCTAATTCCAGGTAGTGCATGTGTGTGTGTTATTCATGGGCGTGTGTACTATACTTCGATTGTCCAGCACCAGCGTCTCAAAATACATCTATACCTATACAAATGCATTCAGATGATACATACCCATGTAAACGTACATGCATACCATATATGTACGTAGTATCGCTTCCGAGAGTACCGTTTCTTTGCTCAAAATTTGAATCTATTCGCACCACCCCATTACCAATCAAACGCAGGTGTGTGCTACATCGACAATTGACTATACCTACACAAAAACGTACATTTACCTACACACAAATACAGATGAAACTTGCACTCTAAAAGCAAGCACCAACGATTCCAGCGAGTACTGTTTCTCGCTACTCCTACGCCCCTACTGGTCCCTATGCTCACGCGTTGCGTCCACACGCACAACCCCATAGCCAGATAAGTTCGGCTTTGAGGCAATAGACACTTTTCACTACAAATGCACTCACATTTACGTGCACGTGAACAACCCATACAAACACATAAAACACATAAGAACCATTAACACACATGAACCTCAAACAACGCAAACGCACATTACTCAGATACATATCCAATATACACACCTTCGCTTCAGCGAGTATCGTCGCTTTCTGCCTTGTCGCACCCCCCCCCTTCCATCCAAGCTCGACGGTGTACGCAAGTCTGTATTCACATCGCCGGCTGTTCTGTCTGTGTCTCTTCCCGTACCTGCACGCGCATGTTTCTCTGAGTGCGTGCCCTCCGTCTCAGCCTGCGCTGCAGAGAACGAAGTCCTCTGGCCTGTGCGCCCGGTCGTATGATGTGTGGTGTGCCCTTTTTGATCCCTGCGTTTATTGTCCTCCGCTTGTGCCGCATTCACACTGTCTCCATCTTTACCTACATCCCCCACACCCTCCCCGTTCTGTTTCCCATCATCGCGATGCTCTATATGCGGATCCACACTTGTACTGCTAACCGGTTTCATTGGAGTATCTCGGGGTTTAGGGTCAGGTTTAGAGTTAGGGGTTGACTGTGCATCTCTCGCTTCAGCTCCCTTTGCCTCGGGGCGTCCGTCCGCCTTTTTAGACGCTGGCCGGGCCGTATCTGGATTGAGATACCACGCACTCACTGGCACGAGTTCGTTAGGCGAGCATGGGATGGCAGGTAAAGCTAATTGCACTCTTATACAGAGATTGTTGATCAGCGCATTGTTACGTACTAGTATACGTAGGCTTTCACGTTGCGGGTGTGGCCGGTTGAAGAGTTGCTGTGGCGTCTGGCCGTAACTGCGGATCTGGGTTAGGACTGGGATAGAGAGAACGAGAGAGAGAGAGAGTGTGTGTGTGCAAGTGAGAGAGTGAAAGGAAGCAGGGAGGGAGTTGATAGATCTGGAGGTATACTAATATCTACATGCCCTTTAAGCAAATATGTCGGCTACATACAAGCGTGGTCATACGCAAGTAAACACAGACTTACAAGCATAAATTGAACAGGCATACACACCCTATACATGCACACCAAACCAATACACAAATATCAAAATCGCCCTCACCCGCACCGCTGGATCCTATAACGCATTCCTATCCATCGTACTATTGCACGCATTCTGTTCGCTTGCATACATGTATATCCATTGTCGCATGTATATACTCGATATCATACCATGCATCATCAGCACACAAAGTCAATACAAAATAAATATCTATGGATCTCCAACTCACCCGCACTGCGCTGGACCGGGTCTTGTATCGCATTCACATCCACCGCGCCATTGTACGTCATGGGATGGAACACATTGTACGCCTGCACAGCAGGTTTACCCATCTGTTTGAACCCAAAGATCAGATCAATCCACACAGGCAGGCGCTCAGTCACATAGGGAGACTCCAGAGCTTCTCGATGTTTCAGTATGAAGTACCGCGGGTTGCCTTTTGCCCAGGGGGGTAGCACCACATCGCCCACTCTGCATACGAAGAAGTGAGTATCTAATTTGTACGGTATATATGCCGATATATGTGTAGGTCCAAGATTGTGTATGACTGAGTTTGTATATGGCAGGTGTATATTTTATTTCGCGTGATTCAATTTGACTTCATGATTTGCTGATGTTGGAATATGGAGTACCGTATATTGCCTTTTTCCCAAGGGGGAAACACCACATTGCGTTTACGTAAACAAGTATGTATGCACACACACACACACACACACACACACACATATATATATTTATATAAAGATCCATACCTATATCTATATCTATACCTATATCTATATCTATATCTATAGCTATAGCTATAGCTATAGCTATATCTATACCCATACAAATACCCATATTAAACTATAGAGAATAATAAAGTATTATTTATGAATGACTAGTTTATTGAGTTGAAAGTTCTTAACATTTATGTCACCATAAGTGGACTAGTGTCTAATATTCGTGTATTGTACAATACTGGGACATCAAAAGGCAGGCGAGTCACTAATTATGGAGTAAATCCGATGTCAGGAAGTAAACACAGTATAGTAAAGGCTTCTTATGAGTAGAGCAGTGAATTGCTCATATATATATAGCCATATCTAAAGCTATATACCTATCGTTCTATCTACGAATATACATATATAAGTATGTAAGTTACTGTGTTTAAAAGGTGATAGGAGGTGACCTCAGAGTCGCCAGTGTTTGAATATACACTGTCACGATTTGCCCACTCGTGCACGTTAGCAACACTGCACTTATATATGAGTTTATTTGAAACATCGACACATATATGTATAAGTTTGACCCAAGTCCTATGTGTACCTATACCACCAAACACAAGCACATGTCCTTACGACCACTCTGGCACACACCTATCGGCATCCTACTTAATAAGCAGATCGTAGTTGTGCACGTGCCCATAGAAGGAGCTAGAAACTGTCTGTAATTATGAACACATATCTACACCAAAACTGTTTGCATATAAGCATATGCGAACACTGTCTCTCACTCACCCAACGCCATCCTTCTGGACACTCGCATCCTAGTTGTCCTGTTTGCTCATGGAAGGGCTAGATATCTAATACAGACGACACATATATACATACAACTGACAAGTGTAGATAAATACAGATTTTCACAAACACACCTGATACCATCCTGCTGAATACGCAAATCGTAGTTGTACTTACTCACGGATGAATAAAAAATAGATACGGCCTCATAAACATGCATATACATACACGCATAAACACATTCGAAGACATTCGCATACTCACCTGACACCATCCGGCTTGACAGTCAGATCATACTTGTTCTTACTCACGACTACATAACAAATAATTACGGTCTCATATACATGCCTATACACACGCATTAATACATTCAAGACACGTACATACACACCTGACACCATCCTGCTTGACACCCAGATCATAGTTGTTCATGTTGCTCAGGAAATCAGGTAGGTAGAAGAACTCGGGAATCAGTTCCTTCACGTCTGTGCCGGAGAGTTCAGACGCCAACTGCCACGAATGCTCCAGCGAGTGGAATGTCCGGTCAGGCAAGTCAAATCGCCCGCCCTGGATAATAGGAATATGGTTATTAAAATACGAATTTAGGTGATGATAATGTATATTATACTCAAGGAGGCATACAGTTGCGTGTACATAATCAGACATGATGTGCAGAACGATTTACACGTGAAGCTAACTAGTCGTACACCATTCAAACTGAGAACATATATGTTTGTAGAAAGAGATAAGTGTACAGATGTCAATTAGCATACACGTACGTATACACGAGCGTTTGTAACAGCAGCGGAGGCGTATGAGTGGTGTATGTGTGGAGGTGTGAGTCCTCAAGAAAGTCTCAAACGTGCTTGTGTATAAATCTGCATTCAAGGATATGTGCTATCGAACAAATACCGACACAGAATCCGAATCCCAGAATCTATGGTAGTGTTCCAATATGCGTACCTGAAAGGCGACGAAGCGCTCCGTGTAGGGTCGTAGTCGGACCAAAAAGTGCAGCACCGCTCCTAAGTTCGAGTAATGAGACCCGTAAAAATAGGGCGACATTCCCAACTCAGCCCCCAAACCACCCTCAGCTCCCAATTCCTCCATAGTCTGCGAATTAAGACGGATGTATTAGTATATTATCAGTGCTTACAGATAGAAGGAAGATTCGGTAAAATAAGATCTGGAATCAGGGTCTATACGGTCATTTAACCGTTTCCGTATTCACGCACTCGCACATATATACATGTATGTATAGGCGCAATTCATCAAATATCATTATATGTATGTACCAGGTACTAAAAAGTGCTTCGTCAAGTATACACACCGACAACCATATACGAATACAGCAATTAACATATACAACCTGGTATATGTCCAATTTGATATAATCTTAGTTCCTTGTATTGGGGTCACATCTAGTCAGAGGAGTTGTCACGCACCACAACAGTCAATGGAATAGAATAAAATAATTTCATATGCAATTAACATCCACTTAGTATATCAGTACTCGCACACACATGAACTTGCTATAGCTAATTCCAGACCTACCTTGAACTTGTCGACAAAGCGGTTGAGCCGTTGTGTTGTGAGAGCACCCATCGGTAGCGAAAGATCACGGTATACTTTGGGGTCGTTCAGATCCAAAGTATCCGAGGTGTAATCCGACAGAATCCATGGCATAACCTAATATGGCAATGTGTATATTTGTGCAAGGATGGGACTGAGCATTGGTGACAATAGCAATGAAACAGTGGGTCCAAATATTTACTCAGTACTTTAGACAGCACTAATATATACCAAAACAGACCAGAAAATGGTCGAATTGTTAATTATGGTATTGAAAAACACTTCACCCAGTACAATAGAAAGCACGGGTATGTACCAAAACAGACCAGAAACCGACCGAATTGTTAAATAAGGTATTGAAAAACAATTCAATCAGTACTATAGAAAGCACAGGTATGTACCAAAACAGACCAGAAACTGAGCGAATTGTTTAGTATGGTAAAGAAGAGTATAATAGTGGACTGGCGAGATAGCAGCATTGCTACACATGATGTTCAGATCCCTATCTGGGTATTCTACAAAGCACGAGTTGACAACGAAGCATACCAGAAACGGACTCAGGGGAAAGGCAAAGCAAGTGCGACGGTATAACTAACACAATACTCACTAGAATTTAGGAGGAAAGTGGTTTTGTAGCAGACTACTATCCAGTACTCCAGTTCAATAAGACAGACCAAGTGTATGAGACAAACACCATTGTGGGAAGCTACCCACATTGAAGGAAAATGTGGATGATTTTGGATCCAAAAGCTCAAACTATCGTGTATTGACTGACATCGGGCTTTAAATTCGATATCAGTTGGATACCAAGTTTGTGGCATCATTCACTTGGTACGGCATCAGAGAGGGATAAAATCAACATACGCATTGGTATATACCCCCAAATACAGCCCAGATTCATGCAATAAGAACTCCATATGGCGTCTGGAACTACCTACCGGGTACTGACTCAGATCATTGAAGGAACGTCCAGCCAGAGTGTTGACTTGCATCAGATAGTCATAGTTGCTCACGTATCTGCCGATTGCCGAAGTAATAGTGCACAGGTGAGATGGACGTGCGGAAAGAAAAACACAATGGATGTGCACGCCTACTTTATATATACATACCCGTCAATTGCCACAGTATTGGCGTACACGTAGAGGGAAAGTGCTAGATGACAAACGTTACGAATTAGTGCACCCCTACTATATATATACGTAACGGTCGATATTCGAGGTCATACGGTTTGGGCGAGAGAAATATAGAAGGAGGAGCCGATGCACACGTCTATGCCTGCATTATCATGATTGCGATAGATGATTGAGATTCTTGTAGTCGCTACATACAAGCAAGTTTACGAATGTATATCACTACACATATCAAATTCATATACACGCATGTAAGACGTTCGTACCCAGCACTCCAGGCCTGGGTGACAGTCTTGAGGAGCATCTTGGGTTCACTCGCAATGAGATGCGATAAGTTTTGGCTCAGCAAGCGTGCGCGCAATTCCTCGCGGTCATTCGGCGAGAAGAACACCAGGAGATACGTCTTGCCTGTGAAAGAGATGTTGTAGGTATGTGCTAATAAGTAGGTATGTAGAACACTATAGGTACGTTTTATACTATGGTTATGTTTTATTTCGGAGTGTGCATTATATAGGAAGTGGGTATAATACGAGTGTTTTTTTCGAGGCAGGCAAACGTTGACATGAAAGAGTGTACATTATAGGTTTAGAGGCAACAAAAACACATGTTCATAACACGTGTATTTATATTGTTCTGCGAAAAATAAATAAAAAACCACACATACCCGCATACGCATCGATTGGTTCCAATATCAACGCTGCACGCACATACATATTACACACGCATATAATTGATTCTAATACTATGCGCCTAAATGAAGTCATCAAAGTAGACGCCCACACATTCAGTTGAACAGCGGGATGGCTACTACTCCCTACCTGTGGTCAAAAAGATCTCCAGCCCTATCTCCTGCATCAGATAGCGCCGACGGAAAATGTACCGGATATCTATGTGGAGAAGGGGCGCCCGTGCATGCAACAGTGAGATGATAAGTTTAAATGTAGGTTTCAGCCGTTCAAGGTTTAGTGCCGACTAAAACATGTATCGTACTTCATTGAAATCGTGTTATTAAAGAGACACAAGAGATGATAGGAAGGAACTCGGGTTTCAAGGTTTTGAGTTTGGCATTGATGTGAAATTCAGGTATAATTAAAACACCTACCGGAGAGTGGCCATGTCCCACTGCTGTGTGCGCTTTGATTGGTCATGGGGTCTGTGTGGGCGGCTGTACCGTCTTCTGACAGAGACTCGGGCAGGTTCTGAGTGGCTTCGTTGCTAACGCAATAGTACACATTGCGACTACCGAGAACCACCTGCACACGTGAACAGCAGCGCGTGACGTGGAATTGAATGAGAGCCGGGTGAGGGGCATGGGGATATTATGTTGACACACAGGTGCATGTACGATGGGAATGTCCAGTGATAACAACAACATACATTCTTAATGGCTATAATAGCAGAATGTGGTTTCATGTCTGATTGCACGGCCTTCCCTTAACGAATCAGTCGCATGCGTGGTGTCGTATTTTGCTTCTTCTTTCATATTTACCTGTCATATTTGGGCATATTACATTACAAATGTGTATCTGACCGGCGGTGGTGCTGACTGTGTGCTGAGGGCAGTTGCGCATGTGGATGATTTCATGTACACATAAATGATCTCGTGTGGTCACGTTTATTATCGCCGAAAATACAATTTGTATGCGGATGTGGAAAATTTCATGTACACATAAATTATCTCGTATAGTCACGTATAATATCGCACAAAGTACCACATTTGTACGCATATGTGGATGGTTTCATTCTTATAGCACAAAGTATCACATTTTTTATGCATATGTGGGTGATTAGAAATACTCTCGTATAGTCACGTTTATTATAGCACAAAGTATCACATTTTGTATGCATGTGTATGGTTTCATGTACACATCAAAAATCTCGTATATTCATGTATATAATCGCACAAAGTATCACATTTTGTATCGCATACCTGTCCGCTGGTGATGGTGGTGACTGCAATCTGAGCGCAGTCACACATGCAGAAAGATCACATACACATGTATATAGGCTTATGTATTGATGTCTACTATCTCACCATGGAACATATTTTGTCATATCACCGCACAAAGAGTCACATTCTGTACTATTGTCCTACAATGAATCGTAGTAAGTCACACTACCTACCTGACCGCTAGTGGTGGTGCTGACTGTGACTTGAGCGCAGTCGCACACATACAGAATGGTTTCATCAGTGAGTAGTCCCAGTGTCCACGGTTCAATTACCTGCCTTTCACTTTCGCCTGGAATGAGATAAACGTATTCAACCAAGTTTATCGCAAGAAAGAATACATCAGGTTGATGTGAGAATTAGGTAGTTCTAAACATTTAGTAAAACATACATGACGTTCGAAACTCCTTATATCTACATATAAACGTATATGTGCACATGTATGTCGAATGATTTCTAGAAAAGAATATACAGATCGTATACTTACTAGAGTGAAAAGTAGATGGTAGCATTATATACAATGTAACATTCCAGATCCATGATCACTTTATTAACTGATGAAAGCAAGTCCTAGATGTTACTATATGCAATGCACAAATTGGATCGACCAATCGTGTCTGGCACCTCAAAGTCGATGACGGCGGCGATGAACACACCCACACCCACCCACCCACACCCACAAACATAGACACACAGACACAGACACAGACATAGACACAGACATATATATTATACACATTTATATACATATACACACACGCACACACACACACACACACAGACACAGACACAGACACAGACACAGACACAGACACAGACACAGACACAGACATATATATATATATATATATATATACAACAGACACACACACACACACAC